TTTTTAAGTCACTTTTGGCGCCACATACATCTCTGTCTATCCCTGTTAATCGGGAAATGGCCATTAAATCTGTTAGAAAAAAAAAGATTTATGGTTGTATATGACGTAAACCCCTCGAACAAAAGAGACACGACATTAAAGACAATCATTTGTTTGTTTGTTTTAAATGTGTATTGAACATTTCACCGCTGATTTGCTTGGGCACCGTCTACCTCTCCCCGAAGAAACGAAATTGTTTTCTGGCTGGTCCCCTTCTTTTTATCCACCGAAATCACAGCTTGCCTTCTCCTTCTTTGTAAGCTTTTTCTATTTCTATTTCCTTTTTAATTTTATTTTCTTCCTTTTATTCTCTTTGCCCTTTAACTTCACTGTAAGGATTTGTTCCTTTTATCTCTCTTATTCAAATCATTACTATTTTTATTCATTTCTTTTCATCAATGCTTTTCTTATCTGTGTTTACTTCGTTTCTGTAACTGGGTTTTCTTTTTAATTAATAAATTATGTCTTTTCTTTTTGGCCAGTTAAAGGCTTCTCCTTTTCTTTTCTTTATTTGTAATGCTGTTGTTATTTCCTTTCTGGGTTTTTCAAGTTTGATCATAGTGACAAAAAAAGCATTTTTGTTTGATAAGATGTGGTGTTTATGTGGTAAAGGGAACGTGATCATGGGTTCAAACCAATGCTATTTCTTTTTTATGTTTCGTCCTTTTTTTATATTTAAGTTTTTTTTTCGAATATCTGTATTTAAAATTCTATTGAAGATCATATTGTTATTTAATGGTGGTGCCTGGAATGGGAGCTTCAGTTACATAACTTTATTTTCTGTTCTTGATTAAACTGAGTAAATGTTGAGATTTCTGAACTTAGAATGAAACACTGGGTTAAGAAATGACCTCGGATTTCTTGAGAATTTGCAGGATGGGAAGGGTTAAACTAAAGATAAAAAGGTTAGAGAGCTATAGCAACAGGCAAGTTACATATTCGAAACGCAGGACCGGAATCTTGAAGAAAGCGAAGGAATTATCGATATTATGTGACATTCATATCATCCTTCTCATGTTTCTCCAACCGGAAAGCCTACGTTATTCCATGGAGAGCGCAGGTATTGTAAGAATGGAAACGTTCTTTCATTTTCTTGGATGGCCTAATTTATGCTTCACAAGATGTTTATTCTTCATTTTGCCGTAGAAGCTATAGTGGTAATTTGGGTATGCTTTATACTAACCGCAGATAAAAGATACACAAATTTGCAGGTGTTCCCTCACATTTTTATCATTAGGCAACTTTCATATAAATCCGGCTAGTTAGTAAGCTTGGTGGACTAGGATTTTAATGACATACCTGTTGCCGTTGTGATCTCTGGACTCGTACCATATTTGTTTTTTCTTTCTAGTTAGAAGTATACAACTATGTATCAGAATCAGTTATGGTGATTCTTTATTTACCTAGTAACACATAGTTTCAGGTGCATATCAAGTACTTTAAAATAGTCCTGGGTATATGACTGTCCAAATAATCATATTTCTGTGTTTAATTATCAATGTTTGAAGAAGTAGAGTAAGGTAACAAACGAGGCTCACTTTGCTTGTTTGCCTTTTCCAGCAATATTGAAGAGGTTATTGCAAAGTTCGCACTGTTAACTCCACAAGAAAGGGCAAAAAGGTGAGCAATCTGACATTTGAACGTCTTTAATTAATTAGTCTGTTCATATTGAAATGACATTATAGCTATCTGATTTTTGTTGGTCTGCAACAGGAAGTTGGAGAGCCTCGAAGTAAGCCTCCTTTCAACTCTCTTCAATATGTTATGCTTCCTTACCACAAAGTGATGATTAAAGTTTTATTACCCTTTCATCATGTTAATTTTTGGGTTTTGTGATTGTGAATATAGGCTCTAAAGAAAACCTTCATGAAGTTGGATCATGATCTAAACATACAGGACTTTCTAGGTGCAACGTATGTCGCCTTTAGTTTTCAATTTCTTCCAGATAAGTGTTTCTGTTTGAGTAAGATATAAGGAAGAAACTAAACTTTTTTCTTTCTTTCTTTATTTTTTTGCCCCTTGCAGCAGTCGGTCTGTTGAGGTATAAAGTTTTCTGAAATTACATGTATCCATTTAGATCATCGATTTTGAAGTTATTGTTAATTTTGTTATGTCTGGAACATGCTATTTTTCAGGAAATGACAAATGAAGTTTCAAGGTTTCGAGCTCAGCTTGCTGAAGTACATAAGAGACTGAGGTGCACCTTTGGAACTTTTGGTTGTTAAAGCTTTGATTTTTCCTTTCTGGTATTGTTTGTAAAAGGCTAGCATGAGATGAGAATCACATCTTACTATTTTTTTTGTTACCCAGTTATTGGTTATTTCACTTCTTAAGTAGCTTCTCCTCATCTTTTAACTCTCCATCCTTTGGACCTCAAGTATAATGATTAGATCAGGAAATACAAAATCCATAGTTGAACCATTGTGAAGTTTCAACACTAATGCTACACTAGGGCAATAAGTGGCAAGGTTCTTGTTAATTTGAGTGGAGTTAAGATATAGCCGGAATGAACTAGATTCATATGTTAAATTTTATGATATATATTATCTTTGGGAATTATAATGGGGAAATTATAGTCTTAAGAAATTTCCTTGGTTAAGGCTAGGTCATCCTGAAATAGAATAGACCATTTTTTTTGTATGTGCCTCTTTTCTTGTGGATTTTCGTAATTAATGTTTATTTGCTTGTAAATTATCTGCTTTCTAAAAATGTCCTTTGTTTTTGCCTGTTTCCTTCATAACTGTTTGTATTGACCTACATAATCTGGGTATTTGCATGTGTGCATTAACAAAAATGCATATTATAAATAGAAATAATATGCTTTTTTTGCTTCTATGGAGCAACTCTGCTGATATCATGCAATGATTTCAGTTACTGGAGTAATCCAGATAAAATTGACAGCGTAGAACATCTTAGGCAGATGGAAGATTCACTAAGAGAATCCATTGAACGTGTTAGGATACACAAGGTATGCTTTTGTATACCATCTTTCAAAGTCAAAGAGAACAATAAATATACATGATTAACCCACCTGATTTGATATATTGTATATGATCAAGGTATTGCATGTTTGTACTTGGTTTGAAACATACTGTTGTTTAACTGCATCAAATGTTAATTCACTCTGACTGCTTGATTCATCAGACGCTTGATAGAAGAAACCTGTAGTGTCAATTGATTTATTGTACCAATAAATTGCTTATGCATGCTACTTTCTTTGCAGGAAAATTTTGGAAAGCACCATCTTGTGTCACTTGAATGTACTGACCAGGTAGCAAGAATAAGTACTCTCATCCATCCATCCATCCATCCATCCATCCATTCATTGCAGTATCTTATAATTTATTATGGCTCACAGTTTCAGATTAGGATACCTTCGCCTGTAATGATCAGCGAGGTGCAAGAAGCTCAACCTGTGATGTGGCTTCCCAGCAATGAAAATCAACATATGTTAATGCATAATGTACCAAACTTTCTATCTCATCGGTAAGATATATATTTCAAATACGATTCCCATTATCTTTTTGAGATATTCAGTTTTACCAAAACAAGTTTGTACTTGAAAATAACCTAGACTCTCGTGCCTATCTGTGGCAACATGGTTGTTTTTAGCTTCAATTATTTATTTAAAAGTAGCATATAAATGCCTTGTGATTTTTGTGTTTTCCTTGATACCATTGGCTGACTAGTTTGTTTTGCTCTAGAGACGCAGAGTGCTCTACAGATTGCTCCCTTGCTGGTTATTCCGGTTTCTTTGGCTCTGGTAAGCAAACAGAGATTAGCAGTTCGGGACAAGTTGATAATGTCATACATGAATGTAATGGCCTGAATGAGTTGGGGAACAATGCTTTCTTAAATTTAGAAGCTGGTGAGCAATATTTCTACCAGCAGTTTAGCGCTTCAAATTTCCAAGATGATGAGAAGTTGAAGAATGATATTGAGGTGAACCTACAAGGAAATCCCACGGTTAACCAAGTTATTAGCAACTTTGAAATCTCTAGACCTATGTGTAACGATGGTCATCAAGCTTGGGTATCTTCTTCTGGCCCTTGTGGCATTGCAATGTTTGATGGGGATTCTTACCATCAGGTGAGGAGTTTCTTTTGTTCTGTTCTATCCTTCATTGTAGGATATATGTTCATGGAAAAGTTTACATTTTATGCATGTAGTAGTGTGTCTGTTACTCGGATTTGGGTGAGTGTTGGATGCGGGTATGTGTCTGACACGGGTGTGTTTGATTTAATTCCCTATGTTTATCCATGCCAAATCCATTTAGGTTCTCCTGTCGTATGTGTTGAATCTTGCTGTATGATATTCACATTTTGATTCTCTTTCAATAAAATTATCACTCATATCATGACAGCAAAAATAAATAAATGGCTCGAGCAAATTTTGTTTATATTATGCTTCTATGGCATCAAATAGCATATGCTCGACTTGTTTTCTCAAATGTCACTTTTAGTTAAATGCGTCTAAGAAATTGAATCTTCCAGCAAAGTTGTTGATTGCGATCACCATTAAATCTCAGCAAACTAAATCGACTTTCATGAATCAGACACCTTCATCCGGCCAATGCCATGATTTATAGCTGAAGGACTCACAGATATGCATTGGAATCCCACGAAACATGCAGCAGACAAAAGGTGGACTATCATCGCCCGGTCAGTTTTTGCTGCCGGACATGTTTCTTGTATATTTAGTGTATCTTTTTATAACACACACATGGTTAAATCTTTTGTATACCAACTCTTTTTCTTTTCTTTTATCTTTTTAGTAGTCTAAACACAGTTTTCGTTTTCGTGGGGGGGGGGGTTTAAGAATACTTCCCAGTTCCTCAAGATGTATAGTACAAGAAAACATGACCTTTTACTGTAATTAGTTTTCTGAGATGCCTAATTTGTCATTTGTATTAAATGTGCAGTGTAAATTAATATAAGCAATAATAAAAATATAGCTACATATAGATGCAATCTGAAGTTCCACTGTACATTGAAAGTTTCTTGTTTTACATTTAATATGCCTTAAATTTCACTTAAGTTATGCAAAAACCAAGGGACATTGATCTACAACTCCAACCTCAAATCCATTTCTTAGTAACCCCTGATTGTGTTGATGATGGTGTTGTGCCATGGATCTGAGAGATGCTGCAACAGGTTCTCAAATGGTCCTTTCCCAGTCGCATTGTGTTGAATTATAAACCCCAAGAATGCCAACATTGCCAATCTCCCTGCACATTCAATCAACACAAAATAAATCAGATCCTTGGCAGGTATATATATGTATGTATGTATGATGCATGCGTGTATGTGTCTATATATACCATTGGCAAGCTCCTTTTCTTTGGCTTCAAGTGTAGGGGCAAAGTTGAGGGGGTTGAAGATGCCACCAGGGTAGCCACATTCGTTGGGGGGCAAGCTGTATTGCTTAAAGATAGGGTCCTGGTTCACACAACCAGGGTTCTTGATGTCCTGCCACCTTCTGATCTCCACATAGTGGAACAAAATGAACTCGATAACGAAGAGGGTCGATGACGATGCAAAGTATTCGGCTTTCCCGGCATCATACCACTGAGGAGCATTGATTATCCCAAACTTGGTGAAAACTTCAGGCAAAAGCATCCCTGCAACACCCAACATAGCCCAACGCCCGTTTACAAGCTCAGCTTGCACATACCATTTCAAGTTCTCAGGGTCCTCAGCCAATCCAAGAGGATCAAACCCATTATCACCTGCAAGACTGCACAATTCTTTACAGCTTTAGTTCATAGATCATATATGAGAATTCTGGTTGCCTTTAAAAGGCGATACCTAAGGAGTTTCCGGTTTGAAATCTGTACCTGCCATTGAGGTAAGCTGGTGAAGGAAGTCCAGGCAACCACTCCCCTTTCTTGGCTTCAACTTTAAATGAGCTAGTTGATGGATAAGCCATTGGTTTAAATGACACTTCTCGGATTAACTTACCGGAAGAACCGGTTAGGAAGCGTGTTTTCGATCCACATGGCTGGAAAACAGCGGCGGCAGCTTGCGTTATGATGGTGGCCATGATTTTTTCCGGCAGTGTATGGGGTTAAGTGAATGTGGATGTTTTTAGTGCATGGTTTAAGCTTTGTATTTCAACTTCATGAGGATTCATGTGGTTGTCATTAGACGGTGGATGCTGATGGTTGGTTTGCTTGATATTGTTGACCCAGCGGTGGAAGTGAACTTAAGGCTTATCACGTTATCTAGATGCCATATCCACAATTCTCTTTCTTTCTTCTTGTTGGTTAGAAATGATCATATGGGACCCTTTCTGGGTTTAGATAGCATGATTTTTTCCGCCACATCGGATCTCTTTCACTCAATAATTGTTTGACGTGTGGCTTTCAGATTACATCTTAGCGACTGATACTCAGCTGGGATACTTGAGCTCTCTTTCATGTTTATACTCGTAAACTCGGGATCTTGATCTATTGTGCTTAAGTATGCTTCAAAATAGCATATTTCCATGCTCATATCCGAATACGGATTGAAAAGAATGTATATCATGCCATTGTTCCCTCATAATCCATAGATTATAAATCTTTTCGGATCAACAACTATATATAGATCAAACAGAGGCAGAAATGGAAACAATGAATGTGAAAGATTCCCTTGAATGATGTTATTGTCCAATTGTTCATTTTCAACAGAAAACATTTCTTACAATGCAATTCCAGTTTACAGGCAATTGATTTTTTTATTAAACTGGTGCCAAGATTGGATTGTCAACTTCATGAATCATAATGAGATACAACAAAGATCGAGCAAGCCGGCGAAATGCTTCCCTCTGTCAAGCCACAATTGCGGAACGATAAAACTGATTCCTCAAAGAAGCCCAAGTTACTGCCCTGCAACAGCTGCTGCTACTTCCAGTTCTTCACTTGTCAGGAACCTGGTTGAGGGACGGAATTCTGTTTCCAAGCAAGTTTCAATCGCTTCCAACTCGAGGGATCTCAACGAAAACTGGGTTCCAGCTGCCTCCACAGTTTTATCAATGAAAGTTGATCTCGGCATGTAATCGTTCAGTCTGCATATGAAGTCCAAATGGCCCCTTGCCTGGGGACAAAACAGATGACATGATCATATTAGTAAACCATAATGGCACACTCAATGTAGTAAATATAGAACATACTTGTCAATTGCTTGCTTTCAAATGTAATAAAAAAGATCCAAATCCAATAGAGGTTGAGAGCTTGTAGGAGAAAAGGTAGGAAATAAGATGGGTTTTAACAACTAATTATGAATCAAAAGTGAAAGAGAAATAGTAGGAGAAAACCCACTGAGTTGGATACGAATTTAACCCATTTAAACGTCTTTAGAAAGGAGACTGAATTCCGATACGACATTTAATCAGCCAATGCTCATGTTTATCCGTAATGATAACAAATGCAATATTCATATTGAAACATACAGCAAATCAACAAGCATATGGGGAATTAATACAAGCAACATAAAAAAAAAGAAATATTAATATATAAATCTTAGGTAAGCTATCATCATGAGTTTTTAAGCTACTCAGACTTGGGTGTCAGTGTTGATACAGGAATGTGTCCACAAGGGTATTTCTATGTTCTTACGATTATTTTTAGGGTCTTTAGAGGATCATATTGTTAAGGAGAAGGAAGATGAGCTACTGGAAGAGGTCAGTGATATGCCACAGCAGATAGCAGCCAAGTGGAATGTCGCACACCTGAAACCAGCAGCAGGGGACACCCAGGAAAGGTGCAGAGGGCCGCGAGAGAGAAAGACGCCTAGAGCTCTAACCGATTTTGTCCGTTTCTAAAGCAGTCAAATATAACTAAGACAAACTTGTAAAGCGAGAGGGTTGCTGAATTCACTTGGATTTCTCCATCTTCTTAATCTAAGTTTCTATTTCTTCTTCCTCCCTTCTTTAAATTCTATCTATATTTTCCGACTTATAACACATATTCTCAAACTCGTGTTTGGAAATATGTTGGGCATTTCTGTCAAATACGAGTACTTAAAGAAAAATGAAGAGTCAGAGTAACCAAGAAAATCTTGTGTTGTTTGGAAAAAGAAAGAAAATCTTGTAATAGAGAAAGAAAAGTGAATAAAGAGCCCTTTATTCCCATTAGGATAGAGGCATATACACCTGCAATCTAAGAAGAATAAACACTTCTGTTAGACGAGTGTCCAAAGGGCTCAGCATTGACAAAAATACATGTCAAACAAGCAAGGACACATCAAAAGAATAAAAACAAAATCGGACACTGCCGAAAGAAGGTCAAGACACGGCTGGACATGTGACCAAAGTTTTTAATGCTTTTAAATTTAAAAAACTAAATTTTAAAATTCAGAAGTATATAAAAATATTTTTTTATCGTGATGTCCTGCTGTATCTGTGTCCATTTTTTTCTGTTGAGAATTTCCATAACACCAAGTCCATGTTCCTAGACTGGAAGAAGCCTAGGTAGCAAGGAAAATCTTGTGAACCATTTTTTCAGGCAAAGCTTGTATAGATAAAGTACATGAACAACCAAGAAAAAAAAGAAGTTGAAGAACTGACAGCTTACCGATCGATATGCAGGAGCTCGTTTAGGAAGCTTTAGGTAAGCCATGTTCCGGACATTGAAGTCCCATAAAAATGATGTGTGGTGGATCCACTTATTCTTGGTAATGGACTGAGCATTTCCACCAAACTTGTGGTTACCGAATACATAATCTAAAACAAGATATCCCAATGTTTACCATTACAGATTACAATCTTCCTAAAAAATGTGTTTCAGAGATACAAGTCCATGAGCAGTCATGAAACAAGAGTGAGATACATATGCAGAAATGATTCCATAATTCGGGGTGATTAGTTCGTATTCCACAATGGAACGATGCCATACTGTGCACTGTGGTAGTAGAACTAGACGCCATCATTCTACCTTTTTAAGTGGTTGAGAATTTAGCTCAGCTTTTTGAAGGCCCTTCTCTTTCAAAGATGAAATGCAGCAGTTTATAGGATGTTCGACAAAAAAGCACTTCTCTCAAAATCTAATATATTTCAAAGGAAGAAATTGAAGATGGTACCGGACGTATGCATGCAAAGAAAATGCTACCAACTACCAAGCATGCCATTCAAGAACATACCAAATGCAAGGGTATCCAACTCATACTGATTTTAACAACAGGAGACTTATGCATCCTTAAGTGGGAGTGCCAAGGTTAATGTAGGAATTATAGAAATGAGTTGTCAATCCCTTAAGTTAAGAGATTCTGTAATTATTTTCTGTTTTTCAATCCCTTATTTCAAGGGATTACATCTCCTAGGATTAGTTTCCTTTCTTAGAGTTTCCTAGTTTAGAGGCATAATTTGTATATAAATATGTAATATGTTCTACTGAATGTACACAAGAATAAAAATAACAGACTTGTCTGTTTTCTACACAGTCTGTTTTCTACATGGTATCAGGTTAGAGCGATCAATCCGATTTCCGCTTCTCTTTAAATCAATTCCTATTCAACTCTATTTTTTTTCATGGCTAATCCGGATCCCTCAGCATCCGAAATCACTTCCCAGACCAGCCCCTCTCAATCTGATTTTCAGATTTCAAATTTCAAATTTTCAAAGCAACAGAGGAAAAATCGCCTTTGGTGTGAACATTGTAAGAAGTCAGGCCATATGATAGATCAATGTTGGAAGCAGCACGGAAAACCCGCCGATTGGCAGCCCACACGGTCCAGGTTTCAAAAGGAGCCTCATATTGCCTCTCAAGATGATTCCTCAAGCAGTTTTAGCAAGAAACAAATAGAGGAACTACGGCAGATTTTGAGCAGTATGACAGCCAAGCCTACAAATGTGACTTATACTACTACTGATGGAAATAATCCATATGTTTCCTCGGTACAATGGATAATAGACTCGGGTGCATCAGATCATATGACAGGAAATATTGATCTCTTGGAGGAATATAGTGAAAGCAGCTTACCAGCTTCTATCAAAATAGCAGATGGCTCTCTCACTACAGTCAAAGGGAGCGGTTCTGTTACATTAAACAAAAATCTACTACTTCATAATGTCCTCTATGTTCCTAGACTTGCATGCAACCTGTTGTCAGTCAGCAAATTAATTAAAGATTTTGGTTGTAATGTTGTGTTTGGTACTGGTGGTTGCAATTTTCAGGAGAGGGTGGTTGGCAGTGCTAGGCTGGGCAAAGGATTGTACACCCTTGGAGGTAAAGCATCTCATAATCATGCCTTATCCAGTGCTCTTAGGAAACCAATTTTATCTTCTGATCTCAATACCAATAAAATTATGTTATGGCACTCTAGATTAGGTCATCATAATTTTTTCTATCTTTCCAAAATGTTACCGAACTTATTCATTAATAAAGATCCATCTTTGTTTTCCTGTGAAATTTGTCAAATGGCCAAACACACCAGAAAACCATATATTCCAGCCAAATTTGAACCAACACCACCTTTTTCCATCATCCATAGTGACATTTGGGGTCCTTCTTCTGTCAAAAGTATTTATGGGTATAAGTGGTTTGTGTCTTTTATAGATGATTACTCTAGGACAACATGGGTTTTCTTAATGAGAGAAAAATATGAGGTTGAGTCTCTCTTTAAAAGTTTTTATCAAAAAGTTGAAACCCAATTTGACACAAAAATCAAAATTCTAAGGAGTGACAATGGGAGTGAGTATTTGAATAAAACCCTTGGGTATTTCTTTAAGGAAAAAGGCATTGTTCACCTTACTTCTTGTGTCAACACACCTCAACAAAACGGGGTAGCAGAAAGGAAAAATAGACATCTTCTAGAGGTTACTAGGTCTCTTATGTTTGCTGCTAATGCTCCTAAGTATCTTTGGGGGGAAACTATTCTTACAGCCACTTACCTCATCAATAGAATGCCAAGTAAGACCTTAGATTTCAAAATTCCTACTAAGGTTCTGTTTCAGCTGTATCCCCATTTTAAACATTTAAACTCAAGTTTTTCTCCTCGGGTGTTTGGGTGTACAACCTTTGTTCATATCCACAACAGAGGGAAATTAGATCCTAGGTCCATAAAGTGTGTGTTCTTGGGCTATTCTTCGAGTCAGAAGGTTACAAGTGTTACTCACCTTCCATAAAAAAAGACCTATGTCTCATTTGATGTTACATTTTTTGAAAACCAACCTTATTTTTCAGGAACAGAAATTCAGGGGGAGAGTTACAAGGAATTTCAGCCTGTTCAAACCGATATTTCTTTACAGCCTATTAGTTACAAGGAATTTCAACCTGTTCAAACCGATATTTCTTTACAGCCTATCATTTCCTTACCTATTACTGTCTCTCCAAAGCCGGCTAGCACTGTCCCAGTTCCTAGGGAGGGTGATGGGAATAACCTAAATAACTCTGATGTATTACCTTCCTCCTTATCTCAGCACTCTAGTCCGTGCAAAACACCTTCCACCACTACCAAAAATGCACCTAACAATGACCCTGAAACCATAACTCCCCAACCGAAACAACTCAGTGTTTACTCAAGAAGAAGGAAAGATGTTGCTGAAGAAATCAGTTAGCCTAGCATTTGACAAGAATCAAATTCGGATCCTGTTACAGCTGAAACAGAAGGTAATGATGGTTACCAAGAGGCTACTACTGTTGATCTTGATGACTTTCCTATTGCTATTAGGAAGGGGGGTAAGAAAATGCACTGCTCATCCCATAAATAAGTATGTTGCATATGAAAAATTACAGTCTAATTTCAGGGCCTTCACTGCCAGCATTAACACTGTGAAAATCCCAAGAAATGTGACAGAAGCATTTCAATCTCCTGAGTGGAAAAAAGCTGTGGAAGAAGAGATAAAAGCGTTGCAAAAGAATAAGACATGGAGTTTGACAGATTTGCCAAAAGGGAAGAGAGCTGTTGGATGCAGGTGGATATTCACAGTCAAATATCATTCGGATGGGAGTGTGGAAAGATACAAGGCAAGGCTGGTTGCTAAAGGTTTTTCTCAGTCCTATGGCATCGACTACCAGGAAACTTTTGAACCGGTTGCAAAATTGAATACCATCAGAATATTGTTATCAGTAGCTGTTAACATGGACTGAAAATTGCATCAGCTGGACATAAAGAATGTTTTTCTGAATGGGAACCTTGAAGAAGAGGTATACATGGAGGTCCCCCCCGGAATAGAAGGAAAGGTCACTAAGAAAACTGTGTGCAAGCTCAATAAATCCTTATATGGCTTAAATCAGTCTCCCAGGGCTTGGTTTGATCGATTTGCTAAGGCTATGACATAGAATGGTTTCAAACAAAGCCAAGCGGATCACACATTATTCAGAAAAATTACACCGAGTGGTAAGATAACCCTCCTAATTGTCTATGTAGATGATATGATTATAACTGGTAGTGATATAGAAGAAATAGAAAAGAAAAAGATGAATCTTGCAAAGGAGTTTGAAACCAAGGATTTAGGGAGTATGAGGTATTTCCTGGGTATGGAAGTTGCAAGGTCCGAAGAAGGGCTGGTCATAAACCAGCGTAAGTATGTTTTGGATCTTCTTGCAGAAACTGGGATGCTCGACTGCAAACCAGTTGAAAATCCAATGGAGCCAGGCTTGAAATTTTGCAAGGAAAGGACTGGAAATCCAGTAAACAAGGAAACCTACCAAAGGTTAGTTGGGAAGTTAATCTACCTTTCACTGACCAGGCCTGATATTGCATACTCAGTGAGCATTGTCAGCCAACATATGAGTGATCCTCGAGAAGAACATTTGAAAGCTGTTAACAGAATTTTAAGGTTCTTGAAATTTACCCCAAGAGCTAGACTTATATTTAGAAAAATCAAGACAGAATAGTGAAGGTTTATACGGATGCAAGCTGGGGAGGTGAATTAACTGATAGAAGGTTAGTTAGTGGCTACTGTACCTACGTTTGGGGTAATTTGGTGACTTGGAGAAGTAAGAAACAAGCTGTTGTCTCTCGAAGTAGTGTTGAGTCAGAGTTTAGAGCAATGACTCTCGGAATATGTGAAGGAATGTGGATTAAAAGACTGCTCACAGAACTGGACTTAGATGACAAGAAGAATTTTGAGATTTTTAGTCAGTCAATCAGCTATGAGTATAGCAAAAAACCCAGTGCAACATGATAGAACGAAACACATTGAGATAGACAAACATTTTATTTACGAGAAGGTCAACAATGGAGTTGCAAAACTGCAGTACATTCCGACGAAGAAACAGCTGGCCATCTTCACCAAAGCCCTTCCACGAGTGACTTTTGATGAGATGTCATTCAAACTGGGTATATACAACATATATACACCAGTTTGAGGGGGAGTGTAGGAATTATAGAAATGAGTTGTCAATCCCTTAAGTTAAGAGATTCTGTAATTATTTTCTGTTTTTCAATCCCTTATTTCAAGGGATTACATCTCCTAGAATTAGTTTCCTTTCTTAGAGTTTCCTAGTTTAGAGGCATGATTTGTATATAAATATGTAATATGTTCTACTGAATGTACACAAGAATAAAAATAACAGACTTGTCTGTTTTCTACAGTCTGTTTTCTACACAGTCTGTTTTCTACAGTTAATACATGACAAGAGACATTTCTGATCTTTGGTTTAAGTAGGAGGGATATACTGTCCACTGAAAGGCTACAAGGTATAAATTCTAAAGTGACCGTTGGTTATCATCATTGGATGATATATAGACAAATTGAGAAGCACGTAGAGGAGCTAGAATTTTGCTTCCAGCTTACATCTTCTACGTCATCTTAAACTATTGAATCTAGCAAAGAACATTTTATCAGAGGCTTTAAGCATATATATCCATGGAAGTTGAATATAGAGCAATTTATGTAATTAAGCGACCATGTAAATTACCATTTTCACGAAGACGGAAATCACCAATTCCTTGAAAGACTTTGCTGTACAAAGAGCCACTCCAAGACATGATTGATCGAGGATATGGCTGTAAGTCAGGAACCGCTTCTTTGTTGCATATGAAAGTGACAAATATTGTCTCATGGTCAACAATAACAGTACCTCCCCCCGTAAACCTTCTTATGACAGGAACCTGATCGTGCAACACGGATTCAATTTCAAGAAGTTCAGCAGGTTTCCTATGCAGAATATTTACTTAGCCTTATGAATCACATATGTCCAATATAAGCAGAAGACATCATAGCCCGAGTAAGGTCAGAAAACTTTGAGAAGCCATATATATATTAACCAATATATACTCTTCTAGAACCTATCAAATTAAAAGAGAAGGGATGATTGGGTAACAACTAATGTTAATGGCCATCCAAGTGCCATTAACTCAATTAAACTTTGAGAATAGCTTGGTCCGAATCTTCCTACTTCGAGTCCTACTCCGTTTTATTACTGCGTGTTCAAAGCTGGAAAGCTCCTTTACCGGTTAACATCTATCAAAAGTTTAGCTAATGAGTAATGGCTGTTCAAAAAACTACAGCACTAAACTGAATCAACTTTTAACATATTAAAGAGCCCAAATTCAATAAGAAAAGAAGGCAAACGAAGCTTAACAAAAAGAAAAACACGAAACAATAAAATATCTTACCCTGAAACACCCATTACAATGGTGGGATCATTAGTTCCATCATTGATGATGCACCAATTCTCTGATGAAGTTCGAAGCAATTGTTCCTCTATATGTAGTTGCTGCAAAATGGGCAATCCTTTGAATCTCATAAGATTCATCATGGGAAGGCCAATGTTTCTGGTCTGAGGGAGAAGCATTTTAGAACCGGAACTAGAATTCCAGGTCGGGGTTTTTTTTTCTCCTGCAAGAAACAGACACAACAAAGGATTCCCATAATTCCATGTTTCCCCCCAACATGATAAACAATGTGCTCTAGTTCTATGTTGCAGTATTATTTTTTCGTTCTTTCTCCCTTCAAATATTAAAGAACGAAAGTGGGAAATTTGACATGAATGAGAAAATGGGATTCATTGTTTCTGATAAAATAAAATAAAAAAACTTCACAAAAAAATTGGGTCAGAATTATCATCTTTGAAAACCCAAATTTGTTAATCAGTTAATGACAAAAACAATAAATAACATTTGCAGAATAAAATCGAAAGAAGTTTGTTTTTTTTAAGAAAAAAAGAAGTAGATTTGAACTTTGAAGAATTTACCTTTCAAAATTTCAAGAAGGGGCTTTTCGTTGATACGGCAGCTTCCGGCTTGAAGCAAAAGGACAAACCAGTTAAATGGGTAAACTACATATATGGTCACTAATGTTTGAGAAAATATTTGTTTTCCAACTGAAGTTTCAAAAATAACAAATTGATTATTAACATTATCGATTTATAACAAATCAGTCCCTCGATGTTTCACATAAAGCTGACGTGGCACATTTAGAGGGTCGAGTTGGCACGGTTTGAATATGCTGGCACCACTTGACCAGTCACCGTGACACTCCTTAAAAAATATAAATCTTTTGTCGACACTTCTGTCCAACACATTCGGGCATGAGGTGATCCTCCAAATATTTGAAAAAACTTAGAACCATGAGGTGATCCTCCAAAATATTTGAAAAAACTTAGAACCTTAGAGTTTCTCGTGTTTAGCCTCTTCTCATACTCCATATTCATTCTCAAGTCAAGTTACATAGCATGATATATTATTACTGCTTTCATGCATAATTCGGATGCGAGTTGAATCAAATTGAAATTACTAGTTCAAGTAAAAAATTGTTTTAGAAACATACTTCAAATCTGATCTTGGCTGACATTTTTAGAAATAATATGCATGTGTGTGTTCTTCTGAACAAAATATTGAAGCACATAACTGTTCTTCATGGATTCTAGGCGAGGCATTAATGCCACTTTTGGCACCTATAAGATGACATTCTCAGCAGCAATAGTACCATAGACATGCTATGAAGTATCTGAAAAGTATTGAAATATCCCTTCATTTTTGCCATTTCTTATGGTGGCGATTGGCCTTTAAAGGTGATTACCATAGTTATCATAGTTATGATGCATTTTTCAACAAAGAGAAAGCCAATGATAATTCTGAAATCTTTTTAAAGGTTGCTATATGAAATAGGAAATTTTCTTTTGAGAGCAAAGATCATGGGAGTTTAAAACTACCGAACTGCGTCTCAGAGTTGTCTGTGCACTTCTAACAAAACTTATTTGAAAGATGATTTGGGTCTGTTTCTGCAGCAGCATAAGAAAAACACAGCTATGCTAATAATCAAAGTGAAAAACAAGCTTGCACAGTTTTAGTGTGGATTTCCTAAAAGAATTAAACAACGAATCTAATCGGTTAATTCATAGCATGTACGGGAAAACACATTACCAACTAATTGTGATGGTTACCATCTCAGAGTTGTCTTGTTCTTGGAAGTCGCATTTATTTATTAGGCTAAAGTATTTGGTCTTTATTGCAACTCAACTTTTATCATCATATTATGGTTGCAATCCAGTAGGTTGAATTATGTTTGGATTGAGCCACAAAAATAAGATGAATGGCAAGTGTTCAGTAGGTTTTGGATGGTAGTGTTTATGCCATTCTCTGCAGCATGGATTTTCTGTGATTAAACTTTAGATGTCAATCATTACCCTTTATTTGAAGATTCTTACTCGTGTTGAAATCCTTACTCGCGTTTTCAGTCAATTTTAACACCTCTGCAATTTTCTTCTTCTTCAATCTCTTCTCCTTTTAAATTAGGGTTTTCAAACTTGGGACTTACGTTTTTCTTTAAGTAGGAGTCAAAGGGTTGGTCAACCGTAGTCTGGCGTGGCCAAACGATGTCAAGTAAGTCGACCAAACGTGCCATGTCAATTTTTCATGACTGAGATGGTTATAAATTGATAACATTAGTGATCAATTTGTTATTTTTAAAACTTTAATGGGAAAAACAAAAATTTACTCAAACACTAGTTACTATTTGTGTAGTTTATCCGTTAAAAATCGATTGAAACCAAAAATGTTATCTAGAAAATAACTTTTTAAATTGGATAGAGTAACTTTTTAGGTCGAATCAAAATGTTATATTTTTATAATATTTTCTATTATACATGTAATTATTATAAATTGTATAATTTTTTTGTCGTAAATTTAAAATCACCACAACGTAACAATTTAAGTTACAACCGAAAATTTTTACAAACTTATATAACTTTTTAGATTAAACAAAATAATATTTTATAAACTTATATAACATTTTAGATTAAACAAAATAATATTTTAAATTAAAAATCATCTTAAATTAATCCTGCATAACAAAAACCACCCTAATCTTTGATCCTGTTTGGTTGCTAGGAAATATGAATAAAGGGATCAATAGCAGTTGACATCCCCAATTATGAGTTAGATTATAAACTGATCCCTCGATTTAAAAGAATGTTCTAAGTAAATCTTAAATCATCAATATCATTCCATTTAAATCCTTTTGTCAGCTATTTTGTTAATTTTTTATATCGACCGGTTTCATGTGTTATCATCTAACTATTACACATGTTTACGTTTTCTTATATATTTTGTTGATAAAAAATTGAGTATGTGAAAATAGACATTTCACCTTCTTTATATTTTGTTTTAATGATTTAATTTCGTATCTTTTAAAATTTTATAATTTTACACTCTTAATTTTGATATACCTTTTTAAGACGGGTACATTCTAATATAAAATACTGTTTTTCAAGGTAGGTTCCTTAGTTATCTCTTTGCATGGTCGACTCGATTCAAACCAAATCCGACTCGAATTAAATTAAACCCAAGATGACCCAACTCAAACTCAACCCGGATAACCCGTTTGTCACCTCCAGAAATAACAGAGACATAAAGGAAACAATATTGCCTGTGTGAATGTCTAGAACAGGAGTGAGATTCTATCATAGGCTACGTGTAAAAAGTACCAACGACCATAAAAAAACAGTTAGAGTGATCAATGGGCCAACAAAAGTTAACAGAATACAAAGACTTAGATGCAAGTCAAGCCTGAAGTGAAAAATGAGCCATAGACTTAGACCAGTGACTTCATTTTGTGAATATCTAAATTAAAAGTGGCAGTGTATCATACGTTTCGTCTAAAAGGGACAAAGACCCTGAAACAGTTGATGACTTTGGATGGAATACCATCAATCCCTGTAATTCAATGACTTGGATGCAGCTCAACTCCAGAGTGAAAAATGGTTAAGATTTGAGCGTATAGTACACTGCAATTAACCTATAAGTAAACATCGTATCAAGGCTGTTATTTGCATGCAAAAGCATTTGTTAATCATGAAGTGTTTAACCTTGCTTGCTCCCCTACTCTTCTGTGCTACTTTCCTATGTTCTTCGCTTAATGTTGCTTCTGATTCTGCAGCAGAAGCAGTGGCAATCCTCAAATGGAAAGACAGCCTTCAAAACCAAAACCAAAACCATTCTGTTTGGCTTTCCTGGAATACTTCCAGCCGCCCCGATGCGAAAACGAGTCCTTGTGCTTGGTTTGGAATCCACTGCAACCGTGGTGATCGTGTTATGAGGATTAATCTCACTGGCTATGGTGTAAAAGGTACGCTTCATTCATTTCCATTCTCCTCTTTGCCTAATCTTGCAGAGTTGGACCTTAGCACCAATGAGCTTTATGGCATAATCCCACCACAAATCAGTCAACTTTCCATACTTACCTACCTTGATTTATCATATAACCAGTTCTCTGGACAAATCCCACCTCAAATTGGCCACCTCATACATCTTAAGACCCTCCACATTGCTGGAAATCAGTTGAATGGCTCGATTCCTCGAGAAATCGGTCAGCTCAAATCCGTCACCGAGCTTGCCTTGTGTAGCAACCATAAAAAATGGTTCCATCCCTTCTTGTCTTGGTAGATTAAGCCAACTTGTTTCCTTGCTTCTCTATAATAATTCCCTTTCTGGTCCCATTCCTTCAGAATTGGGTAACCTTAGGAATTTGTCTGAACTTTACATGGACACCAACCGTCTAACCGGTCCCATCCCTCCGTCGCTTTCAAACTTGAAAAAGTTGAGCGTACTTTACATGTTTAAAAATAGTCTTTCAGGGCATATCCCCTCTGAACTAGGGAATTTGGAATCTCTTACTGAAATAAGCCTTTACCACAATAACCTGTCTGGTTCAATCCCATCCTCATTTGGTGATTTGAGAAGTCTTAGTCTTGTCCATCTTTATCAAAACCGACTCTCTGGTCCCATTCCTGTGGAGTTGGGGAACTTGAAATCTCTTGTTGATCTAGAGTTGAGTGAAAACAAACTCAGTGGCTCTATTCCTGCTTCACTTGGCAATTTGAGCAACTTGGAAATCCTGTTCCTTCGAGACAACCAACTTTCTGGTTCCATTCCTAATGAAATAGGAAACTTGATGAAGCTGACCGTGTTAGAACTAGACCACAACCATCTGACAGGAAATTTGCCGCATAACATTTGCCATGGTGGATCACTCAAAGGCCTCACAGCGAGTGAAAACCATCTTGTCGGGCCAATCCCTCGAGGGCTGAAAAATTGCACTACATTGAAGAGAGTTTTCCTTGAAGGGAACCGGCTGAGAGGGAACATATCTGAAGGTTTTGGCGTTTACCCGTATCTCGAATTCATTGACATAAGTGACAATGAATTTTATGGTGAAGTGTCTTCCGAATGGGGTTTGTGCAAAAGTTTACAGAGCCTATCTATTGCAAGGAACAATCTCACTGGTAGAATACCAGCTGAGATTGGAAACTCACATTAGAAAAGCTCAATCTTTCTTCAAACCATTTAATTGGGGAGATTCCAAAGGAAATTGCCAAGTTGACTTCTTTGCTTTATCTTGATTTGAATGGGAATCAACTTTCTGGTAGCGTACCCTTGGAACTAGGACTTGTGTCCAAACTTTTGTATCTTGACTTGTCTGAAAACCAATTGAGCAAGTCCATCCCTGAAACTATAGGGAATATACCCATGCTATTCTACTTGAATTTGAGCTTTAATCAGTTTAGCCAAAGAATTCCAGCTCAAGTAGGCAAGTTAATCGGGCTGGTTCTTCTAGATTTGAGTCACAACATGCTTTCAGAGGAGATTCCGACTCTATTTCAAAGTTTGCAGAGCTTGATGACACTAAACCTTTCTTACAACAATCTCTCTGGTGAAATTCCAGCCACTTTTGAGCAGCTCCGAGGCTTGTACTCTGTTGACATTTCACACAATCAGCTTCATGGTCCCATTCCCAACATCCAAGCATTTCAAAATGCTTCGATAGAGGCATTGCAAGGGAACAAAGGTTTATGTGGCAATGCTAGCGGATTACCACCTTGCACGCCGTTATCTAACAAGGGTCACAACAAAAAGCTTTTTGTAGTTATGTTCCCTTTTTTATTGGTTGCTAGTCTCTCGATTTCATCGATTGCTTTGTTGTTCACCTTCAAGAAGAGGAAGAAAGATGCAGATGAAGAAAGACAAAGCAGTGCAGGTGGCGAAATATTTTTCTCAATAGCATCCTTCAATGGAAAAATACTATATGAAGAGATCATTAGAGCTACCAAAGACTTTGATGCTCAATATTGCGTTGGGAAGGGAGGATATGGAAATGTATACAAAGCAGAGCTGTCATCTGGAGATGTTGTAGCTGTGAAGAAATTCCATCCGTTGCATACTGGTAAAATGGCAGATCAAAGACAGTTCCTAAACGAGGCAAGGGCATTAGTGGACACAAGACAGAGAAATATTGTGAAGTTCTACGGTTTCTGTTCCTCCGCAGATCGTTCCTTCTTAGTATACAAGTACCTTGAAAGGGGTTGCTTGGCTTCAGTTCTCAGCAACGATGAAGAATCCAAGAAACTGGACTGGAATAAGAGGGTGAATATTGTCAAAGGTGTTGTTCATGCCCTCTCGTATTTGCACCATGACTGTTCACCTCCGATTGTTCATCGAGATATAACGAGCAGCAACATTTTGCTTGATCTGGAGTGTGAAGCTCATCTCTCAGACTTTGGCGCTGCTAAGCTTCTCCATCCAGACTCATCCAATTGGACTAATATTGCTGGAACATATGGATACATTGCACCGGGTGATTTCATTATAGCTCCATACATGACATAGCATATGGAATAATATTTTGTTATTAACTATTTATCTTTTCCTTTGCAGAGCTTTCCTACACAATGAAAGTTACTGAAAAATGTGATGGGTTTAGTTTTGGTGTTCTGGCATTGGAATTGATAGTTGGGAGATATCCAGATGATTTTCTCTCCGATCTATCGATTCTAACTGCAGAACACATTCCACTAAACTGTGTGTTGGATCAAAGGCTTTCATCCCCCACAGCTAGAAGTTGAGAACAAACTCGAATTCATCCTGAAGGTGGTAGTCTTATGTTTAAATAACAATCCAAAAATCTAGGCCAACCATGCACGCTGTTTCTCAGCTGTTGTTCGACCGAATCTAGTCCAATATAGGATTTGTTGATCTTCATACAAGTGGCCAACTTAGATACGCTTGGTATTGCTCTAATGCTGTTGCTTTAGTTTTTGTGTAGTTATCATAGGTGAAATGGATTAAGCATTTTCTTGAGAACAGTTATGAACCTTTTGGTAGTTCAAAAAGAATCGTTTCGAATGTTCTTCGGTTAAAGCCCCTTTTCCCTATCTGAAGAACTTGACATGATCAAGTTCCCATAAAGTTCCAAATGAGAAAAGAACAAAATGAAGGCTAAAGGGGAAATTGGGGCATAACATAATATTTTAAACATTCCTAAGCAGAAACTGAAGTCTTTGAACTTGATAACAATATCATACGCTCATCTGAGGTTGCAAGCCTTCTCATCAAAGAAAGCAGCGCCAAAGTTTCATGTTACATTCTCTATCAAGTAATCCCACGACATTTCCTTATTTTGTACTCGAGAAAATTCTCTGGTACAAAGGATCGTGTGTGGTTGGACCGCTTCGATTACAGAAGCATGAAGAGGATCCTGCTTGGGACAAATGTGTTTTATGTGATGAAGATAATATGTTTAGTTCGAAGAGCCGGAAAGAATTACTATGAAAGGTTTCGTCCGGGATTGAACATGTTAAAATTAAAGCACTGAAGAAGAAAGAGGAAATGACAGGTTCCCTTACCTTGATTACGGCTAAGGCAGATTGTGATATAAACTTTATTAAATGGATCTTTAACTCTTAGGAATCTGATCCACTAATGAACGATGCCAGTCATCTCCATGTAAAGTATCAAAACATTTCTAATTATATCTCCGCCTTGAGAGTTAATATTACTTTCGCTATTAACATAAAGCAAATAAATTTTCACTCTACATTTGGCATAATAAGGATAGCTCCACAATAAGTACCAACATAACATTAAAATATCTGCAGATGATATTTCATGAAGCATAAAAAATCTCCTAGGAAAATAACAAAAATATTTATGTATGACATATTCCAGAGTATCAATAGTACCTCCCTACTTTTAGTAAGCATTGAGATAACATCAATCTTTTCACCATACCGTTTAAGCATTGAGAATCTTCTACCTAGATCTAAATTTTAATACAAGTCTATAAAGACGTAAAGATCCTCTACAACATAAGCGTTGACCTACCTTTGTTCACTTAATAGAATTAAAATTCTCACGAATAAAGGTAAGATTTAAAGATTCACTCAACGAAGCATAAAAACGACAACCATACGATTTGACTTGACAAAATCGAAAAAGGCAAAGACTAAAAACGGCCCCATAAATGCGATGGAAATCTTCGGATGCACATATCAGTTCAAGCCGCTTTATGGTCTTTCCTCGACTAGGGGACAACTTGTTATACATCCGGAAATTGACAACTCTCCGGTAATTGAGACCTCAAGATAGACTCATTTGCTCAGCAAAGCTTCCAAGGAATCCATTTCCTTTGAGAACGGGAGTATCATAGCCTCCGAGCCAGCTACAATACATAGACAATACCTCTTATAGGCTCACATGGTCTACCAACGCAAAATCCAAGATCTGACAATCAAATCTATTTAGTCTATTAACATAAAAGTAGTCACAAATATTATCCTATGCTTGACACCATTAGTTAAAGTAACTATAAATATCTCTCAACCACGATTAATTATTCTCCTTCAATCCCTTCTTTCCTCTAATACCTTCATCTCTATCCTATAAAAACACCGGCCAATGATCATTACACCGGTTACGACTCTTCATCCAATTTAAAAAAAAGATGAACCGTCATTAGTCGAAGAGTCAAACTTGTTCCCTTCAAGAAACCGTGGTACCAATCAATTTCTGATTAATGGATTGACCTAGCCAGTCATAGTTGATTTTAAAATCCATGGTTAATAAAGTAGTGGTGACTGGTGAGAACTTTGCTGAAATTGAAAACGAGTTGAGTTTCCACCATCTTTCTGGAACTTTTTGACATTTGAATATGGTTTAATAATCACCCTTGATATCCACCACTATCATCATAACATCTAGAAAAGTCTATGATGTATATGTATATATTAAGAAGGATGATTTTCATACGTAAACAATATTGAAGTTCATCGACGAGAAAAGACTGTTATTAGTAAAAGCAAGTCAGCCAATGGAAAGAGCTCTCTTTCTTCTATTCGATATTCTATTAGAGTTTTCTCATGTTATAAGCTTGAATGCAGTCCCACTCACAAGTAAATCATACCCTTTCCCTCCTACCTTAATTGATCTTCTTCATGCATGCCCTAATCTTTTCATTCCTCTTGCTTAATTTGAAGGAATCGAAAGCTTGGTGCATGGACCTCAAGTTCCACAGATTCCTCACCTGGTATACTTCATTAACAAAGCTGTTTAACAAGCTTGAATCTTATGGATCAAACTTTTAATGGGTTATCTTTGTTCTTTATTACAGGTGATTGCAGAGAAAAGTTCAAAGGAAGAAATTAGTAATGGGAAGAAGATCTTAATGGAGTTGAAGATTATCCAGGTTCCGGAGCTAATAATCGACACACTCCAAGGCCACAATTTGGCAGATGTGTTGATTGCTAAGTCCTGTAAACGGACTGAAAGCACACGAACGGAAGTATGTTCATGTTCATTCATTTAATAAATAAACGAACACGAATAAATTTTTTTGTTCATGTTCGTTCATTAAGGAATATAGTTTGTTCATGTTCGTTCATTTAAATGATAAACGAATATAAATGAACGTAAACTAACATAAACGAACATAATAAATAAACATAAACGAACAACACAAAAAAAACTTATTCGAACACAACAAATGAATGTAAAAAAAAATAAACAACAAGAATAACAACTTAAAATTCATTAATATAACCTGCAACTTTAGAGTTAATTTGTTCGAATAAGACAAAAACATACATAAATCATAAATAAGTTATATGAACATAATAAAGTCTTAAAGTTAATTTGTTCAACAAAACAATCTTCTTGAAATCCAAACAACTTCAATAATCTTCGTAACATATTTAACTTTTCCTCTGTTCGAACATAAATGAACGAACATAAACGAACATATAATCGAACGTTCACGAACGTAAATGAACGAACGAGCCATTTGTTTGTGTTCATTTATTTAATTAAACGAACGTAAAATCTTGTTCATGTTCATTCATTTAATAAATAAACGAACATAAACGAACTTCCTGCCACACGGTTCATGAACGGTTCACTGAACGTTCAGTTTATTTACAAGCCTAAGTGGGAAATTAATTTGTATTATGAGATATTCACGGATGCATGTTTTTCTTTGGTAATAATATGAACATAGTATTAAATTGCGGGTTGTGGTGGTTGATGTTACGGACTTTACAATGTGATTTATTTTTTAAAATTGATTATGTTTTTATTGTTGGATTAAAATTCATAATTATAAGTATATATTTTTAATGTATATTGTTATCATAAAAAATGACATAAAATTATAAATCATAGAATACTAGAAGTATTATGAAATAAAATTGTAGACACTATTAAAATTATAGTTATAATTTGATAAGAAATAGAGTTATAAATGTATACAATAATTAATTCTTAAATTAATTATACAAAGAGGATTATTAAATATAGAGTTACCAATTGATGATCATCATGTCTACTGTTCTGAGATGGATTATTAACTGCACATCACCAACTAATCTGACTTGAAATGGTGATTGATCGTTTGCTTTTGGTGCTGCAAGATCTCTTCTTTCTTTGCAGCTTTGTATTTTCAACGGGTGTCTTTCCTTGGGTTTAATATTTGATATACTCCACAATTCTATGCACTGTCGGTAGGATTAATTTAAACATAGAAACTTTAAAAGAATAAGAGATATGAATAATATAATTATAAGTGTGGACAAGATGACAATTAGGTTAAAGAAGAAAATAGCAAATCCGACTAAAATAATATATAGTATATTAAAATATTAATTGGATGGTGAAGCACTCATAATTTGGGATGGGTAAAGGGATATTAGGTTCAATCGTTGAAAATTTTAAATTTTTATATAGTTTAAATATTTTTTATAGATAATTTAATTTTATGTTCTTTAAATTTTATAATTTCATATCTTTTAAATTATTAATATAATTTTATAAAATTTTATATTCACGATATAAAATTTTACATCCGTCTTTGCTCGTGATAAATATTTAAAGGAGATTTAGCATGTGCTTTGATTTTTTAGAGGAGCTAAGTGGAGTGTGATGTGTTGAGCATCCATTTTCTTATTCCTTATTTTAAAAAAAACTTGTGAAAAACGACTCAGTTTATGAACTAGTTAAAGTCAAATGGTGAATTAATCTAATAAGAAATATAATAAAACATTTAAATACACTTGTTGCATGGCATGAACCATGTGCTACCACTTTTATGTTATTAAATATTGCTGCATTGAGATGCTTTTTTCAATCCTAAAGTGCATGTCTGGTTACAAAAGTATTACAAAAAACAAGCATGCCACGGAAGAACACCACCACCCATAAAGACAACTCATTGTACGAATAACACCACCACCCAAGTGTAACAATAAGCATCCAACAAACACGAAAGCCGACGGTACATTTGTTTCCAGTGCAACCAAGGCAACTTACAACACAAACAGAGGGTACTACGCATTGAAACTGGTTCTGTTGTTTAACAAAAGCTCCAAACACAGAAGTGGAAGCACCACATTCGCAGTCACCAATACCTTAATCAACTTCGATGCGTTGCTCAAAAATTTCAATCGAGACTGAAATGCTTTTGCATTGATCTTCAGGTTCAGTTTTTCACTCAAATCTCTTCGAACGCTATAGAAACTAAACAAAATCCCGCTATGAAAACTTCTTAGAAGAAAGATAACCAGTTGCGTTAACGCCCACAAAACAATAATCCCAACATGTTCACCTCGGGTAGATGAAGTCAAGGATTGCACCAAACACACGCTATACAATCCACCACAGGACTTTAACACATTACATTACCAACTTTGTAAAATCTAAACCCAAACAATAATGATTGTGGATTTTGAAGTTGGAACTCAAACTTATATGCTAAATATCTTTTAAAGACGGCTGCATGTAAATTGTAATTCACGTTTGAACCTCAATCCATACAGTTGTTCGTCCAATAAAATCTCTTTAATTGCATGGTACTTCTGGAATAAGAAAAAGGCTTCTTAATGTCATAAATTCATTTCCTCCACCTTCCTCTATGTTCTACACCCTAATCATTGTTCATAATCTGAAAGCTGTTCACTTTTATGGGAAAATATTGACTCTGAATGCCTTTCTGATCAATATCTTTCCTCATTCATCACATTTCATACGCAAAAATAAACAGTACATACAAGTAATTAAGAGAAATATATTATTGCTAATTTTATGGTTGATTAGTATCACTAGTAATTTTTTAATAGTATATGGTGATTGTAAGGTAATATCTATTCAGAAATTTTTTAATCAATTGACAACACACACATGTCCTGCAGACACAACTGCTCAAACACAGGACCTCTAAGGAGAACAACATTCTCTTTTATCATTGAGGCAACTTCATGGGTTTCATTGAGAATTTTATATGTTGGATTAAAATCTATAATTATAGACACATATATATAATGTATAATTTTATCATAATATATGACAAAATTAAGTGACCAATTCTTTTACATGTATCATAGGTATCAAAGTGTCATTGAATTAAAGTGTAAATATCATAAGTTGTATTTGTAATTTAACGAGAGACATAATTATAAATACTTAAAAGAGTGACATAATATTTAATCTATATAAAGAGATAATGATCCAAAAAATAGGTTATGTATTACTTTTATCTTGTTAGAGAATTTTTACGACAATAGAATATCTATCTTATTGAAAGATCATAATCAAATAAAGACTCAAAGATATTAATCTATCAATTATTCATGTATCATTCCATGAATCTAGTATTGTATTTTGTCAGAAAATTCTAGCACGATAGTCCTTTACAAAAACATTTTACATGGAGAATATGATATGATTTGATACCCTTGACAGCATAGAAACAACAAAGGAAACAAAAAGGGAGCTAGGCAAGCTTGCGACATGATGATATAGGCACAAAATTCCAGTAAAGATTGACATCCAATAAGGGAAATGGGAAATGCTTTTTTTTATTGGGTTCTCCATGCTGGATTGTCCTACAATACCTCAACAGGATCAGGAAGAAGATATGGTATATTAATTATTCACTAATTCAATAATGCAATTGGAAAGGATTACACACAATCTAAAATTCAAAGTTTTTGAGATTGTTTGACTCGTAACAAAATTCGAAGAATTTATATAAGGAAAGGCTGTGGCTGTCCCTTTTTCCCATATATATGGGGTAGGGGGAGGTAAGATAGTAGGCTACCCCCAACACCAGGTTGAGAGCAGCTTCCGTAAGAGACCTCCGAATTATGAAATGCCCTCCGTGGGACTCGATCCCACAACCTCAAGGTTAAGAACCTTGTGCTCTACCAACTGAGTTGGATGGTCATTTCAATTTATATAAGAAAAGATTATCCTAAAACTAGCATAACACATAAACAGTTTATATTGTCTGCATTATATCTTTATGTCACACCTTCTTTTATGTGTTATATCTCAATCAGGGACATACGTGAAATTTTATGTTAGAAGAACGGGTTTATAAAATTTTAGGAGGGGTTAAACTTATAACATTTTAGGGGACGATAATATATTATCAGTAGAAAATATAAAAATATATCTAAAATATATAAGAATTTGAAATTTTCAAGAGACGACTACATCTACATGCTTTCTACTCTATCCATGATATGAATTACTTGGATGTGTTGGATATGATATGAGTTTGTATTTAAAGGAGTATGTTGAATTTAAAAGAAAAAAAATCAGAAAACTGAAAGATATTATTAGACTTTGTCGAGAACCATTTTATTTTATAAATCGATATATATTAGAAACGATATTATTCTTTATGTTATTGGCACATGAATGAATTTCTATCTTTCTCAACAACAAAAAATGTGCAACTTAGTTATATCTTTTCTTATATATATGAAATATTTAAAAAATACCTTGGAGAAAATGGATGGAGAGAAGCCATTCCACATGTTTAAATTATATTGGTTTTTCTTTGTAATCTCCACTCTTATATGTTGTACGTTGATTTTTTTAAGTTAACTATTGATATTTAATCTATTGATTAATTAATTCAGATCAAATTTTATATAGACTCAATTTGCACTATTCGCAATCGGCGGGATTCAAACGAACCTTAACCTTGCTTAAGGAATTTTGTGCCTCTTCCCACTAGATCAATTGATTGATGGTACATACGTTAATTTTTCTTTGATGCAAGTCCCACGGACGCCCAAAATAGAGGAGGCCAATTTACAGGCTCTCAAAATTAGAGATAATATGATTGGATATATGTGGGCATTATGAAACATAAAATATTCCAAATCCTAAATGATTGTCACATGGATAAACTATCCTATACCCAATAGGAACTCTATGTATCCACACTACACAACTATAGAATCTTAATCTGTTTCATTGTCAAAAGAAGATTGAAGAACAAAGTAGAAGAATCACTTGAAATCCAATAAACAATGCATCAAGAATCTATCTATCCATATACATTGAAAACAAAGGAGTCTGATCGTTTAACAATAAAAGAAGCATTGATTCACACCTAGACTTGGGCATCCACTCAATCAAACTAGATGAAACAGGTTTTACAGCTTATATATAAGTATCATTTGCAAGTTAATTACCTTCTTTTCTTTTCCTCTTTTGAGGCAGACATTTCATGTTTATATACTTTCAAGTTGAATAATATGGCAATTATACATCAACAAAAAAATGTACTTAAAGCATTGAGAATCAAGGAAAGAGTTAATATATATGTAATGTGTCCAAGTATTGTAATTATGAATTGGGGGCCATGAAAGCAAAACCAGCTTTTCCACATATATTTAACACAAGATTATTGCTTAACTTTTATTCAACATTATATTGCAGCCTTATAGGGATGAGTAATATATATATGCCCATGTGTTGCCATTTTCCTTCCATGTGCTTCTTTACACTTTCAAGTATCAAATTAATAAGACAAAATAGTTTGAACCTTTTTATATTATCCTCCTCTCCTTTCATCATCAAATAGATCCAGTAAATCTCTACTGTGGAAATTATAAAAAAAATTAACCTTAATCCCTAACTCTTTATGGAAGAACATAAATATATATATATAGAGAGAGAGAGAGAGGGGGTTAGCGGTTTGCTATTGGAATAGTAGTCATAGTATAGCAATAAAGGTGTTGTCCGAAACCGTAATTTCACAACAATACCCAAAATGATCACAAAAACACTCGTTATTACTACTATCTCGATAAACATAACATAACCAAAATTTTGACTGCAATCGTAATTTAAACCCATGATCAATATTCAAAATAATAGTACTTGAAGGTTTAGATTATTTGACGATAAGAATCCAGTACAACAATACTAATATACAAACAGCAATAATCAGCTTTCATATATAAAATCTCTATTATAGTATTGTTTGGCCATTGATCTTATTAAGAACTTCGTGGAGTATACTCAGAGACTACCTCAATTTCTACTTCTTTTTTGTGAAAGTTTCGGTGGCAACCACAAGCCGCACATGTTAAAGCCCCATTAGTCCCTTCCATGCCACTGGCCATGAACTCCCGGCAGCCATCCACCGCATACCCTCCGATATTCGCTGCATGGTTCTTCTGGCACTCCCCGTATCGAACCACCAAAGACGAAGTGCTCGAATTTCTTCCGCTTCTCAACACCACTTGACGTTTCTTCATCCCTTTGGAAACCCTAATTCCTCCTTGGGAATGGTTTTCCCGAAGAGGATCTAAAAAGCGAGCTCTCTCCTTATGAACTAAGCCACCAAAGGAAAAACGGAATGAACAAAAAGAAAATGAAAGCAAAAGCAAAAGCAACCTAGCTAGCTTTAATGCGGTTTGCTGACTAACCCTAACCCCAGCATGTATATTATTTATAAGGAGTTGGTGACATTGCTCTAATCCATAGAAAGTGCCATCCTCGTTTGACCCTTACTTCACGCGCTTTGTAACAATGGGAAGCCTCATGTACACCAATCATCAATTATCACGTCTCATCATAAATAAGGTATGCATGGGTTGATTATAAGGTGCATGGGTTGATTATAAGGTATTACATTTAAAATTTTCTTAATTTATTAATAACGTACATACTTACAATAAAACTATTCGAATTTAAGACCTATAACAATAATAACATTTCGTTCTACGAATTGATTCTAGATTTTTCTTAGTTTCATTTATATATAGAAATTTGAAAGCATAGAACTAAACCCATAAATGTCCTTTGATTACTTTGTGGCTGTTTGATGAGGAAGAAAAAGACAAAATTAATACGATAGGAGGCTGAGGTGAAGTGAGTGGAAGAAACCCGTGTCCTTACATAACATAGGAAGTGTCATTGGAAATGATATTTCAACTGCCTTTGAAAGTAATGGTATGACCAAAAAGACCGGTTAATTATTAGCCAAAAATGGAGGAATTGAAGCTGGTTTAATTAATTAGAGTGGGTCAGACATGATCCTGAAAAGGCCGGTTTGATATGGCCCTCGGAACTGTGGCAACAACTCCTGTCTACTTTCCCTTTGCGTCATATCAATTAGGAGAATCATACTTTTGTAAAATTTCTTTGTTTATTGGGTTGAACGGTAAATTTAATGCTTTCTTAAGATGTTACGATTTTAAATTAATTTATGAAAATAATATTTAAAACAACATATTTTTTAGGTGAAAGTATATAAATAGTCTCAAACTTTTGAAGTTTGTAGTACAATCATCTAACTTTTAAGGGCGCTTATATTTTGGCCACCCAATTTTTAATCATTTGTAGTAAGGTCCCTATCATAACTATTTGTTGATGTGACACTTAACTGCCGTTAACTCCTCCCCTTATTCTTTTCTAGTTCACCCCACCTTCGGTTAGCGATGGGTCACACCATCACCATCGTCACCGACGTCGCCCTCGACCACATCTCGACCCTTGATTCATACTCACCATCCACAGTTTGTCCCAAATCGCGAGAAAATTGTTCGAACACCCATCATCGATCTTTGTCGTCATTCACCGATGATCATCACCGTCGGTACCAGTAGGAGCGTCGCTGTAACACCCCAACCCGTATCCGACCCGAATACGAGTCTGAGATGTCACATTGACTTTTCAAAACCTTTTTCTTACAAAATATCAAAACATTTGAACTTATTTTAAGAAAATACGATCATATATTGTTGAACCATATTTGTTAAAACCAATTTAAGAAAAATATACGTTTTATGAACAGTAAAATACGGTATGAACAGTGAATAGTACCATATGAACAATATCATGAACAACAATTGCTACAGTACCCGAACAATGCCATGAACAGTGAAAAATTTCGAATATAAATCATGCATCGATGCACTGCTACAGTAACTTCGTAAAAATACGTATAAATTCATAAAATCCAAGGTTTCATCTGTATAAAATTTTCATTTTACATATACACATTTAAATCATTACAAAATTCAATCATATGATTTTACAAAACCTATTAAAACATATCGAATTCAAATCTTTTATATTATTACATGCCAACTAAATTATTTCTAACAAAATACATGTAATTCGATTTACGTTTCTGATATGATCTTAGATAAGGAGAACTGACCTGTCTTGTTCCTCTTTACTTCTCTTTTCGCTTTCCAAACCTACGTGTGAAACAATCACACGCTAAGTCGATGACTTAGTGAGGCATATAAAATATTTAATAAAAATCATAAAACATCTCACATAACAGAATACATACATGTACATATGTCATCATTATTATGATCTCTATCATATTCATACAATATTATCATTCATATTTCTTATCTCTTGTTCATATAATCTCTTATGCTCTTATCATATATATTATGTCTCATTCATATAACAGATACAATGACTTATAACACATATATGTCATTCCATACAATTCATATCATATAGAAACATATGCATCATATATATATATATATATATATATATATTATATTTAATCTCTTTATTAGCCCATGTACACTGTTGAGAACTGAAGGTATGTGAGTACACTGGGGTTGTGCACAAATGTTGTCACCACAGCTCGTATAAATTGCACCGAAGTGCCACGTAGAATTTGCACCGAAGTGCCGCGTAGAAATGCACCGTAGTGCCATATAATATTGTCCATAAGGACCACATATAAATTCCTTAAGAATCATATATATACCAAGGATCAAGTAAGTGTCTCAAAAGACCTCATACATGCTCAAAAGAATACATATACGTCCCGAAGGACCACGTAGAATTTGTCCCAAAGGACCGCGTAGACCCTCTACTCTTGGCATGCCAACTATACCTCTAGATCTCTTGACACTAACATGGGCATTATCTTTTATAATTATCACATATCATATCATCACATAGCTCACTTACACGTAGAACATTTTCATATGATTCATATTCATATGTCACATAGCTTATACTTTGTTCTTATGCCTTCTCATAGACATATATTCTTTCTCACGTAGTCATATAGGTCCATATCATACAACATATATCACATGTGTTCATGTAAACATGCATGCCATATTTTGTTCACATATGTTCATATATACATCATATAATCATTTCCTATAATTCATATTTTATTTCCACATATGGCATATCACATATCACATATTAGTTCATATAATCAAGTATACATACCTTTCATGTCATGTACATCCTTATAATCAATACTCCATACACTATAACTATTGGAAATAAACTTATCACAAGTTCAATTCCTTATAATCCTATAAACTAAAATACACTCATAATAATCATATCAATCATATAATATTTTAGGAGTCACTTCTTACCATAGTAACTCCGTTACTGGCTTATTGCAAGCCAATGTTTTTCGATAACATAAGTACAATTAAATTGCACTCACCTTAGCCTTGCTTTGATTCGATCTAATTCTTTGATTGTTCCAGAATTTGTTTAGGCTCAATATCTACATAAACATCATTTCCGAGATAATTTCAGAAGCCTAAACCTTATAATTCAATACTAATAACTTAGGCTAATTTAATAAACCAAATTTCATCTTTTTCTTTAAGAGTGCATCGATGCACTATGGGTGCATCGGTGCACAAAATAGCTTCGAAATATCCATGCATCGATGCACCCCTTAATGCATCGATACACCTACCCAGAAATCACTGTTCATTGCACGAAAATTCACTCTTTCAATTTTAATTCTTCAAGTTTCATTCCCTTTCATATTCTTAACTCAAATATACATACTTAAACTAATTTATATCCATTTATCTCATCTTTAATCTCAAAAATCCATCTTTCATATGGAAATCAATAATCATACCAAATTTTCCATGTTATCCAAACTTAATTCTAACACTTCTAACTTCTTATTCTCATAGATGACAAGTCAAATTCATCCTCCAAATTCATTTAAATCTTCATATTCAAAATTTCACTTCAAAACCCATTTTCTTTAATCTGTCATAACTCCTTTATCTTTTGATTTTAAGATAACTTAAGCTTTCCTTAAGCTTAGTTATCATCTAATGATCAAAACCCAACCATAAAATCAACAAATAATTAACTAACAAAGAAACTCACCTTTGCCTTTTGGGTTTCACGTGAAGAAAAAAGAAAGAAGATGAAGAGAAGTTTTGGAGAAAATATCTCCTCCATCTTATCCTTATGCCCTTATCAATCACATTTTTTATTAATTTCTAAGTCAAATGGTCATTTTGCCCTTCACTTCAATTAATAATTACTAATAACTTTTAGGAAATATCTCCACATAAATCATTGAACTATTCAACTATTCTACTTTAATCACCAAATTTTGAAATTTTACAATTTAGTCACTAACCCATAGTTTGGGATGTTACAGTCGCCCCATTCCGACCAAAACCTATCTAACCACTCACCGAGACTCACATTCGTTCGTCGTGGAGAGGTCCCCAAATCTCATTGAAAAACCTTAAATCCTCTTTTCTATTTTGATCAATTTTTGGTCGATAGGGTTGTCCGTTCACCACACCGCAATCACTGTTGAAGTCCTCAGATTGTTTTGAGCAAAACCTAGTCGGTCGTGGCTCCTCGTTGTTGTCCCTCCTCCGTAGAGTTAAAAAAGGCGGATGAGGAGGAGAAGGATAAGGAAAATGGGGGTTAACGACAGTTAAGTGCCACATCAGCAAAACCTAATAGGAGAGTACGACACAGACCTTACTGAAAATGATTAAAAGTTCAATGGTTGTATTGCAATTTTTAAAAGTTGGGTAACCAAAATACAAGTGCCCTAAAAGTTTGGGGACTATATATATTTTACCCTTTTATCATAATGATACTAAAACAACATTATTTATTAAAGTGGCACTCGTTTGATAAAGATGTACCTAGGGATGCGAAATTAGATAATCGTTCAGGTTTTAGGTCGAATTATGTTAGGTCCAGGCAAATTGAATACATATTATATCAGTTCAATTCAATGGTTCGACTCAAATCATGTCGGGTCCAGATTAATTCGGGTTCAAGTCATTTTCAGGTTGATTTTAAATCAGATTCAGTTCAAGTTGAGTTAATTTTAGGTTAGATCAATATCAGTTTATGTCAAAATGGTTAGGGTCTGAATCAGTTAAATATCGGGTTAATTCAGATTTGGATGGATTTCGGGTCTGTTCTCGTTCAGATTAGGTTACATCATTGATAAATAAAATTCATGTCGTATAATATTGGTTTCGAGTGAATTTCAAGTTGAGTTGTTTTCAGGTGAATTATTTTCCGTCTTTCACGAATGTCTAATTGTAATTTGTAATTGTATATTGTTTGGAGTAAATTACAAAAAAAATAATTATAGGTTAATTTTAAATAAAAATATAA